GACAATTGTACAGTTGATTTGAATATTTTATTTCAAATGGTGTCAGAGTTTAATTGAATTTTGCAATTTTTACATTAAAAGATATTTAAAAAATATTATAAAATAAATAGAGTGCTAATTCAAAAAAAACGAGTCTTGTGCAATATGCAGGATGTTTTTCTGAATATTGTGGTGCTAGTTTTATTGTATAATTCCATATGGTTGAATTGTTTAATTCGTTTTTATGGTAATTTTTTTTTTTTTTTAATCGAGAAATTAAGCCTTGTGCAACATAAAGGGCACATATTTATGCCTATCTGACCTATTTTTGGCCCAAAGTATAACAGGAACAAAGAGTTTAATTGATTTGAAAATCGAATGTCTAATGAATGTCGAAAGTAAAACTAACTTTACCGCGGTCACAAACATGCGTTTTCACAACACGGGCGCTGGAAACGTCATTGTTTCTACTAGTCAGTCTTTTTGAACTAAAAACAACAGCATGAACAGTTTTAAGATAGAAATGTTATGAAAGACCTCTCTCGGATGTTAGTTCACGGTTTGAAGCCTCTGTTATAGTCTGTCATCGCTCTTGAGGACTGAGAGGTACGTGTCAGCGTCTTATTTAATGTTGACATTAACTGGCTGTACCAAACAATGGTGTTTACCAAAATGATGCTGTCAAGTCTCCAACATAAAGCAAATATATGTTAAGATTTCTGTCGTGTTTTTTTTTTTTTTTTTATTTAATTCAGCTTTATTTGTATAGTGTTTTTACAATGTAGATTGTGTCAAAGCAGCTTCACATAAAAGAACATAGTAAATTGAAACAGTGTAGTTCAGTTTTTAGTGTTTAATTTCAGTTCAGTTTAGCTCAGTTCAGTGTGGTTAATATTCACTACTTAAGAGTCCAAATACTGAAGAGCAAATCCATCGATGCGTTGCTCTACCGATCCCAAACCATGCAAGAGGTGCCACTGTTTACCTAGTTGAGGTAAAGTTGGTTTTATAATTACACCTTCGGTCTCTCTGCTTAATAATACAACTAATTTCGTTTTCAATAAAGTATTCTTTGCAAATATTAAACAGTGAAATCACATTAGCAGCCAATGACTATTAAAGTACTGCAGTGTTCACAGTCAAAAAAATAAACATGCGATTTCCAGCCGAATATTCAAAGCACCATGGTAATCAATATTAGAAGGGTATATATGGAGGTCGGAGCCAGCTCTAAGTGGGCTATACAAACTCGGAGTTTTTATTTATTTATTTAATGTCTTGTACATGACACAGTCCAGAGTCCAGTATTGTGCTTTATGAATGTCTACACCTACCCCAACCCTAAGCCCAACCTCACAGTAACCTGTTGTGTTTTATAAATATCTGCTCCACCTACACCACCTAAACCCAAACTACTTGTGGTGAAAGTCCCTCAAACGTGGAGGTCTCCAGGCTGCAGCAATACCTTCTTGAACAATATAGAGAGCATGTCACAAGTTGTCACTGAATGAATGTGGGAATATAAAACCAAACTGACCTCATTGTTTAACCATGTAAGGCTTCAGATATGCAGTTCAACAAAAACTGTCGTTATGATTCTTGGAATGTCCCTTTATCAAAACACTTGTTTTCCAAATTTGTAACTTCATTTTTTACTGGAACACAAAATGAAAATATATTTTAATGGAAGCTGTTTATTAAACTGTTGGAGATCATTGACTTCCACTGCATGCATATTTTAATAAGAAGCTGTACAAAATTATATTTGTGCTCATACATTAGTCAGTACTGAAGCCAAATCTGCAGCTTATCTTACAAAATATTTTGCGATAACAGTCAAAAATACACCCAAATTTATGTTATAGTAAAATATTAAATAATAATAATTGAATAAATTTTGTAGGTTGTATTTTTTGTAATATTTTTCTTGAGTTAAATTGTTTTATCTTTCAATTTCTAAATATGTTTGGTGAATAAAATATTATTTTAATAAATATATCTGTTTAATAAATCTGTTTTGTTCAAATGCACCAAAATACATTGCCTATATTCACTGAGAAATGGAGAAAAATATTCTATTTCAAAATGGGCTGTACTCGATTACGCTGAGCACTGTACATATGTCAATGTACAAATAGTTGCAGATGGATCTCCTGGTCACCAATGTGGCCGAGCTCCTCACGGCTGCTGTCCAGGAGGTGCTTCAGCTCATGGGTCAGGCTGTGTTAGAGTATCAGAAGGAGTTTGCCAAAACACGCCTGGAGAATCACCAACTCCAGCTGAAGCTCCGAGAACTCCAGGAGAGAAACACTAAAGCACCAGGTCAGAGATTTGTATTATAATTTATTATTTGCCAGTTCATCCTTCTATAAATAAAGCTGACTAGACTGTAGCCACAGTAGTGAATGATTCTACTAAAAATATCTGTTTTCAGATGAAGCTTTTCCAAGAGATGAGTCTCATTTGAAAGAGGATCAAGCACAGGAAGATCTTATTTCTCATGAAGATTCAGCTGTGAGCGAGGAGATAAAGCTGACTGATGAACCTGCTCATATAAGCCTAGTTTTAGATGAGACTCCTGTAAATAGTCAACATCATTCTCTGCAAGCGACCTGTGAATATTCCTTCAATAATCAAAGACCCCTATCCAGAATTAAGACCAGCTCTTCAAGTAGGATCTCCAACTCTTCATCTGGCAGCAGAAAGACTCCAGCGACGGAGACACCGCAGGCCTCAAACACAATCAAGCTGGAGTCTAAACCAGAGCCTCTGGAATGTCCTCTTACAGGAGATGCAGATCATGTGCCAACACCAGCTCCTGTTGTTGTTCCTGTGCAGGGCGCTGCTTTTGCAGAGGAACACATCCAGCAGCCGGCATCCTCAATTCCTAACAACATCATCCACTTCAGCCAGCCTCATAAACCAGTGAGGTGTGCTTCTAAACACGTTCTGAGGTCGCGGGTGAAGAAAATGGTGGAGGCTCAGGGTGGTCGTAGTGCCGTCAGCATCAGCACGAGCAGAGAGATGCTGCACAGCTGTCATTTGTGCGGGAAGACCTTTGCGTCACCCTCCAGCCTCGGTGCCCACTTTGTGTGCCATTCAAACGAGAGGCCTTTTGGCTGCAAATACTGTAAGTTCAGGTTCAGTCGTCTGGCCGATCTGAAGAAGCATGAGCAAATTCACACTGGAGAAAAGCCATATCACTGCTCCCTCTGTGGACGCCGCTTCAACCGCAGAGAGAATCTCAAAAGACACCTGAGGAAAGTTCATTATGGAGCAGCGCTGTGAGCTTTAGACTTCACAGGCTTCATCCTTTTCACTTTGCATGCTGATGTTGCATCTGAATGGCATTAATCAGTCTGACGAAAGTTTTCCTCACGTTAATATCATGCATTGCTGACTGTTTGCGTTGAACAAAGGTGAATTATGATCTGAAATATGACACACTGATGAGTTCAACTGGATTTTTGACATTGTTAGCATTTATAGCAGCATTCTTTTACTTGGTTTTTTACCAAATGTTTTCTCTAGAAGTGCAAAAGTTATGCCAAACAAACATCATTGCTCAAAAGTTTGGGGTCAGCTTTAATGAGGGTTTCTGCAGCTTTTATCAAGTCAAATTTGAAATTTTTAAAGACCCTTTTAAAACCATTATAAATGAAACTTTAGACTTGTACAGGACTAAACACTAATGATTATTTCTAATGACCCGGTTAGGAGTGGATATTTTTTTTTTTTCAAAATTAAATCAAATGTAATTATTTCCTAGCAACATATCTTAATGTGTCAAAACAAGACAATTATAGTTGCATACACTTTTTTTTTTTATTGACAAGTTTAACATTGTGTATTTATTTTGGAGATAGTTGCATAAATAAAAATATTTATTTGTCGGCTTTTGTTCCAAATCCCCGATTGGGTAGCTTTACTTGAACAGAGGAAAACTAAGACCTGTCTAAAAAGATTTAGGACATACAACACAATATTTAATAAAAGACACCCTGTTTAATGATTTTGAAAATATTTTTCTCATTAAAGCTGCATTTTATTTAATAAAAAAACAGCAGTAAACCAGCATTATTCTGAATGATTATTACAATGTAATGCGCACTGGGTAGCACAATCGCCTCACAGCCAGAAGGTCGCTGGTTCGAGACCCGGCTGGGTCAGATGGCGTCTTGTGTGAAGTTTGCATGTTCTCCCTGTGTTTGCGTGGGTTTCCTCTGTGGTAGGTGAATTGGGTAAGCTAAATTTTCTATAGTGTATGAGTGAGAGTGAATGGTGTTTCCCAGTGATGGGTTGCAGCTGGAAGGGCATCCGCTGTGTAAAACATATGCTGGATAAGTTGACTGTTCATTCCGCTGTGTGCCGAAAAAGAAAATGAATGAATGAATTTTACAATTTAAAATGACTTTGTTTAAATGTTTGAATATATTAGTGATTATCAAAGCTTAAAAAACACTTCTTAACGATCAGTGATTATATCAACACTTTAGGTGGAAATCATGATTCATAAGAGTTCAAATGCAGCATTTATCTGAAATATAAAGACTTAAAGACTTATGGAGAATTTTGGTATGGTCATGTTTTGGTCAATTAAGTGGATCTATAATGCAAAAATCACTTTTATATGGGGTTTAAACACAGTTGTGTAGCAACAGTCTATGTATGTAAAAGCTACTAATAGTAAAAAAAAATTTTTTTTATAATCACATGATAAAAACTGCAGAAACACTTTGACAATGCTCCCTTTGTACATGTCAAGGGATGGGGAAAGCCTAGTGACAATCTTTCCCTCATCAGTGTAGAACATTAGTACTGTTTTTGAATCTGCCACTATGCTGACACACAGGCATTTGTACGTCCACCCTCCTTTAAAAAGAAGCCTGGGAGCACAATCTCATTTGAATTTAAAGCCACAGTCACTGAAATGGCACAATTAGGATCAAATCCCAAAAGGGGCAGTTTCAAAGAGTTATAAAACATTATTTGTCGGGTATTTAAGGCTGAAATTTCTCAGACACACTCTAGGACAGAGGTGTCCAAACCCAGTCCTGAAGGGCAGGTGTCCTGAAAAGTTTAGTTCCAACCACAATCAGACACACCTGACAAGCTAATCAAGCTCTTATTAGGCTTTCTGGAAACATCCTTGCATGTGTGTTGAGGAGGTTGGAGCTGAAATCTGCAGGACACCAGCAATGCTGGACTGAGTTTGGACACTCCTGCTTTAGGGACATCAGAGACTTATTTTACATCTAGTAAAAATCAGCATAATAGGTCCCCTTAAATACATTTTACTCATTGAATGGAAAATATTTGTAAAAAGTTATTGACCCCAGGCTTTTACATGGTTACTTTTTTACACTCATTTCTGATTTATTTTGTCTCGGTTTGACCTCATTGTTGACCTTACATGAACTGTTTTGACCCTGTTATCCTCATAATTGTTTTTAATTGTACAGTAATCTGTACACTTTCAGCTTGGTGCGAGATCACTGGTGTTACATATAAAACTGACAGATGTTCAAAAGTGAAAATCTGCACAATCAAAAACCGCTCCCATTTCATTGTTAACAGTTTACTTCAGCTTCTCTTTTTGGTCCATTCCACACGCCACTCATTCCAATCCAGTAGTGTCCGGTCTGTCTGCCATTTTGCTCGATCAAGTTCTGACAAAGAGAACCAGGATTACAAACATCAAAATAAATCTCCCTCTGTCAGCAAATAAAATGTTTACTCTTACCTTTCAGGAAAGTCTGGAAAATCTCATCAATCATCTTATGACTCTGTGATATTAACGCCCAGGGGTCTGAAAAAAGAAATCCAGAGTCAAAGAACACTACTATATGTCAATCAGCACTGTCATTCAAAGAACAACAATTGGGCAGGTGCTCACCTTTAGTGTTGGAGAGCTGTTGGAGAACGGCAGGCAGAGGGGACTCATTGTGTAGCACTGCACTGACACACAAGGCCTGGCATACTGCCTTTATTTCATCATCAACTGATGCATCACTCCCCAGACAAACACACACGGCACCTGGCAAGACAAAACAGCCCATAAATGTGTCTGCAGTCTTGGCTGAGTAATAGTTAAGCAAGAATTCACAGCATATTCATTCAAAATATTCGTTTTGTAGCATGTTACTCTTCACTTAAACATTTAGCAGAATCAGGGAAGGTTTTCTTACCATTTTTGATTCCGATGAGATATGGTTTGCTGTTGTTCTTCAACGCTAGCTGCAGATCTCCTGGCCTTTGAGTCATAAAGAAATGATTTCAACAGTCACTAGTGTTTTTTTAACCAAAATAAAAAAAAGACTACTGATTTGGTGACTAATTAAAAGCAGATAAACAGACTCGTGAATGAGGTCTCCAAGCCTCACGCCCAGCTTGATTGGAACAGTTCTTCTAAATGCTGCAGAGAAAAGAGCATTTACATTAGAGTATTAGCACAAATGATACATCCAACAAGAATAAGGCATTTAACCCTTGTGTGTCAATGCATCAAAAGTTACACAGAAGCGTTAGAATTAATTTTAGAGTTCAGAAAAAACTCACACATTTCTAAGTGTACAAATACTGTACAACATATACTTTGATATATGAATACACCAATATATTTATGAGGAAATCATTATAATGTGCCAATAATTATATAAAAAAGTCCTTTTAAAGCCATTACAACAGAATGAAAGCCCATTATCAGAAAAGGTTGGGGTGTCAAATGTCTTGTATGTTCAACAGAGGGAGAAAGAAATCCTGACAGAAGTGACATTTATGGCTAAATTATCCTTTAAAGCAGGGTACTCAAACTTTTCACTCCAGTGACTCGCGACCTCCATCGTGCTTGTAAGTGGTTATAACCATACAAATATTGCACACAATGGTGCACACACACACCAATAGGAATTATATGAACATAAGCATATTGTCAACAAAAAAAAGAGCAATAGTCTTAAGCATAACCATAACCATATCTTTTTTTTTATAATCATTATTCATTTAATTTAATATTAACCTCACTTAGTGAGAATGGTGAGCCCAATGTTTATAGCACAAAACTATTCTTGGTTAAATATTATAGACTTTGAGCCATTTGGAGATCATCCTCCTTGTTCAGTCATGGCCTTAATTTTTAATGTATGTGAATGCCATAAAGGTGTCAAAGTTTAATATTGTACCGCAAAATCAATCTGCTGCAGTTAACGTTATTGCTGTGATGTTAATCAAGCATAATAACCCCAGGGCTCACGAATAAAATATAATAATTGATAAAATATGATAATTCTTAATAGTTGAATAAAATATATGAGACTTGTATAAATCACCAAGCGCATTTATGAAGAGAAATCTTAAAATTTCAACAAAAACAAAAATTCTGTTTTGGTTTTTGTCATGATAATTTTTTTGTTTTTGTCAAAATCATTTTGCCAAGTATGATGTGATCCTGGATTAACATCTCTGTTGATCCTGGAACATCATTTTTGTTGGAAAATGTAATCCATACCTATACCCTACCCCTAAACCCAACAATAACTGTAAATTATTCCCAAAATCCAAGGGGAAAAACAGTTGGATAGCAATCATGTAGAAGTGCATAAACCTAACCGTAAGCCTAAACATAACATAAACGGTATCGGTAAACAGTAAAAAGTATCCCCTAATTCTGATTGACTGATTGCTTGAATGTTGTTCCAGGAACAACCTAGATGTTAAATAAGAAACATGTCCTACTTGGTGAAATCAGGATGGCGTGCTGTTTCCATTAACACAGCCACAGTGGTCAAAAATAGTAACAGTTTAAGGACACACAAGGGTTAAATGGGATGAGTTTTTCAGGCCGTACACAAGAACACAGGCTCTCTCTGGTTGGCCTCGGCTGGACTGAGCACTTGACCGTGAAGCAGGTACTGATGCAGGACGATGGACAACCGAGCCTCATTGAGGGTTTCCATAACAACCGAACGTACAGCTTTGTAATTGGCAAACAGGTGGAGAACAGTGAACAGGTAGAACAGGATGAACGTCAACCTGCATGAAAGAGCACAAGTCGGTCCAGTATCCATTCATTTACAGAGTTTACTGGAATATCTGGGTGGAACTCACAATGGGTTATCGGTTACAAGCGGGATTAGAGCCAGGCTGACCAGCAGTCCTGCCAGGTTCACCAGGGTTTCCTTGACAGAACACAAAAGCAGAGAAATGATACACTTATACAACACAGAGACACATGTAATGACATTAATTTCCCACACTAAGAAGGAATTTTGCTGGAAAAGAAACAATCTTAGCACACAGGACGAAGTTTACCTCACATATTTATCATCTGTTATACAAAGGGGGAAAACTGCATGCGAGTGGAGGAGCAAGTACAGTATTTATAGTTTACAAAACAGCATACAAACAGTAAACAAGTCTTATTATATTCATATTACACTCATTCATAATATGAAGAACATCGTTTTATAATGGTTGCAAAGTAATCAAACAGCAAGCTATTTCCAATGCAGCCAAAGTGAACACTAACCTGGCTGCCATCTTTAGCAGAGATATCAGCCATGTTGTTTCTGCGAGCCTGATGGACAGTTAATGCAGCTCTTGTTGCTCCACCAGCAACTCCTACAATAGACTGGAAAGACAGACAAAGAGGAGGAAGTCTAGATATGCACCATCAAACAGATCATGACTAAGGTACAGACATGTTAATATTTAAAAGAAGAAGACGCTGTTAATATTTTACCTTAAATATGCCAGCAATGCAGACGATTATAGTGAAAAAAGGAGGGAAATGAGGGGCCGCGATCTCAATGAACATCGCCACATCATTAAGAATATCAGCAAAGAGCCTGAAAGGACAATTACTTTAGGTATTTGTTATTATTATATTTTTATTAGCCAAAAAGTAAACTCTTGAGCATGCTGTACCTCCATTTTTTGGCTTCTGAATCTAACTTGCTCCTGAAATACAGGGACATGATTAAATATCTGAACAGGCATCTTCACAATCTGAATCCCTGGCAAACATTACCCTTTGAGCCAGGCAAACAGAATTCTTCCCAGCATCCCTGTTCCATCTGAAAAAACAAACAAACAAAGAAAACAGTTAAGAAAATAATTTGAGACATTTAAATGAGTCATTTGTGAATGCACATACCTCTAAGTAGCCATGTTATTGTAGCTGCTGCAACTGTTGCCTCTTGATTTCCAACCCCAACACCTCTGAGAGACGCTTGAGTGGCGAGAGTGCCAGACAGAGAGCTGGAAAATGCCTTTAGGGAGAAGACAATGATATGACGTAAGTGTTTGTATACTGTATATATACATTAGCGGTTATAAGATTTTCTTTTTTATATACACCTGTTTAACTGCTTTAAAGCACAACATTTTATTAGCATGCTACCAATTTGATGTATTTCAAAAAGATCTGCTTAAAGTAGATCAAACATTTGATCAAAATTAGATCTGCATACAGGGATGTGTTAGACTTGAACATATAAGAAAACAACAAACGGAAAAAAAAAAAACATTTGTTTTATACATGAAAATAAAAACAAAACACATGCAACTATATGAGTGAGTGATGCTTCTGACTGCAGCTCAGATTCTGCTCCATCTGGACAGAGGAGAACAAGTTCTCCGACTGAGCCTGTATTCTCCCAAAGTTTGTCCTCTTTCGTCAACTTGGTAAAAACTGATTTATTTATCATTTTTTGGTTCACTGTCGCTATATCTTTTTTACTTTACTTTCTTTACTGTCCACAAGTAGAAATTTATCTTTGGCTTCACCACACAACCAAATCAGCAACATGACACACATCACAGAAAAAAACAGGCAACACAATAACATTTAACGTCATCACATAAATCACATTAAAAACTCTATTTAAAACCCTTCACATACTTACAACCCAGTATTTAAAATTCTAATGGCACTCGGCACAAAGGACATTTGATACACATTTTTCTTTACCTGATTGCCTAAAACATGTTTTTAATAGCAAGAGCTGAAATTTTACATTTAAAGGATGTAAACAATATTCAATAATGGCATGTGCTTTCTGTTTAATTCTCATTGAATAAATTTCTTTTCGTTATCTTTGAGTTTTACCTGCAGTTGCACTGGCAATGTTTACTACTCTTTTCCTTAATTGGCAACAGTTTATACCATGCAATCATGTTAAAACTCACAACACTTTCAACCAAGTTCTTGTATAAGATCTCTAGGACATCTTGACTCACACCAAATTGTTGTAATCTCCTAATGAGATATCGTCTCTGCATTGCTTTTTTAAAAATGCACTCTGCATTTGCAGCAAATGTCAATCCACTATCAATAAATGTTGCTAAATATTTAAAACATCCAACTGTCTTTCATGTCCCTCAAGGACCAGAGGTTTTAACCCTTGACTAAGAACTAGTTTATTTCTAATAATTATCATCTCCATTTTATTAAAATTGATCTCCAGTGAACTTTTTTACACCAATTTTGAAGCAAATTTATATAACTATAGTACAAGGTATCTCCTTCTGTACCTGTACCTTGGCTTGCTTGGGGATGGTAGAGCTGCTCTAAACTGAATCAGTTTTACTTTAACTAGAACTACGCCAGCATTCAAACTGTCCGAGTGAAATGTTCTTATGCCCTTTTTTGTTTGTTTGTTTGTTTACCCTGTCCATCTAGGTAAAGCAGCTTTAATAAATCTGCACCAAATAAAGTGCAACAGAAATAAAGCTGACTCGACTAGATGTTGACTAGGTGTAGGGTCATGATGTACCTGTACAGTGTCCCAGAGCTGATACTGTAGGTAATCTTCACTGACACTCTCTGGGTATCCCTGTGGCAGGAAAACGCTCTGAGAAAGTAAATATGTGGTTGGTTGATTGATGGTTTGGGGATTATTTTCAGTAAGACATCATTAAAGTTTTTCCTCACGCACTTTAAACACGCCAGAGACTGAATTTGCCGCCAGTCCTCCGTTCACTGCATCCTTGCGCCTCATCACCTTTCCCTCCTTCAGCAGGTATTTCCAGGACTCCTGTGAGCCATACCGCTCAGTAGCAATCACTCCTTCACTTTCCTCCATCTCGACCATCTGCACATCAGTAAGAGCTTTAAAGAAACAACAATCAAAATCAATAACTTATAGACCTTTAAATATTCACTAAACTAACTGTAGTCTCAGGCTGCATGTACATTTTTAACGATGTATGTGGTTGAGCATAAGAATGTCTTTTTATATCTTTACAAAAATATCATAACAAAAAGAATCTCCTTGCATGTCAGTTGCGATTTATTAAAGTCGCCCACCTCACTCGCATATCACTCTTCCGCGTTTACACTGTACCGCCACGTCATGAGCATGTCGTGGCTTATGATTGGCCCGTGGCTCTGACGAAGGCACAAACAAGACCGTACAAAACTTATTTTTTTATAATAACTGCTATGCACTGATAATGATTATATGTATGTCTTTGTAACGGATTACTAAAAAAAACTTAGAAACTATATTTATATACAGAAAAATTATTAAGAGAATTATTCAAGGTAGAAATTAAACAAATTGCATTACTTCTTTGTCTGAAAACCCAATAGATCTTTCTGAAGCTGTATATATAGCAACATTTTAATTGCCAGGGAATTTATAGTACAGTTATATTTTTAATGCATGTAAATTTTTAATATCTACTTTGCTTATTAATAATTATATTGGAAATTGATTCAATATACCATTTATTTTTTGAATATATTTGATCTGTTCCATAAAAATACATATTCATGAATGCGAAATGTAGCCATAAAAATGTACATTTTAATTCTTGAAAATTATTTCTAAAATAATTTAGCTTGTATAGTGCCTATAGAAAATGTATTATACTCTGTGAAAATCTATACATTTACTCTCATTACACACTTCTTTTTAAAAGTCCTTAGCAATGAATTCACAATTCAGACTGGAAAAGTTTATTGGGAATGTGATTTGATTTCAGGCTGTATGACAAATAAAGTCATTATTTCAAAGAAGTATGATGATTTTCTATATTAACTTATTGGATTCTATGAATGTGTTGTTCTGTAAACAAATCTCTGCAACCATATAATGTTTTCTTCTTTATTTTAAGCAAAGAGAAAATAAGAGGTGAAAGTTTTTCAATCCAGCAGATGTCTCACCTCAGTGTCAGTCTCTGTTAAAGTGTAAGCTCAGCTCAAGCCAGAGCAGTGAACCTTTACGAGCACAGCATTAGTGTTGTCATGAGTGTCAGACAGAGACAACTGCAGGTTAAATCTAACATACAATTACCCTTAAAAATACTCAAGGATCTGAAAATCATTTTTTGTATATTTATAAATACGGACTAATCCAACTGTTGGGTTAATTTTTTACAATTACATTTAAATAATTTTTTAAGCCACTGCTGACTTTGTCTAACTCAGATATTGTTTAGAGTTTAAAAATAGCTCATGCAACCAGAAGTTTTAATATATATGAAAAATATGCTTTAAAGTTTTACTTGCCGATTTCGGGTGGGTGTGAATGTCGTGACAATGTATAACACAAAGTAAACAATGTGGGAAACGTTTAAGGTGATGTACAAATGTGGGTATTGTAAATCAAGCAAGTATGTAGAGACCGCAAAGTGGTGGACAGGACAAATAACACATCAGTGAACCTGAGGGAATAACATCACATTTCATTATTCAGAAATTTCTTACACAAAATAAATCGAGCGCTTTTAAGGATTTATATCAGTATGTTTATTAGCAAAAGCTTTCCTGGGCTGAGATTTTTGTTTTCAGATTCACAAACTATCAAGGACATCCAGGACTCATGGAAATCTCTGTGGAAAGGAAAACTAATAGAACCATTGATGGCAATTAAGTTAGTTTAAGAGTGTAAGGGGCAGGGTGGCGCTCAAATTGACAAGTGGTCCACCCAATCACCTGAGCTGAATGTTTGTATACCCTTTAACTGTCCTTGATTTACATTTTTGGTCTCTACCGCATAATACTTGAATTTTTACATTTTTATCTTTAATGTAGATATATATGAGCCAGGGCGACATGGTAACATAGAGGGTATCTCTGTCGCCTCCCAGCAAGAAGGTTGCTGGTTCGAGCCCTGGCTGGGTCAATTGGCATTTCTGTGTGGAGTTTGCATGTTCTCCCTGTGTTCATGTGGGTTTGCTCTGGTTTCCCACATAGTCCAAAGACATGTGCTGTAGTAGGTGAATTAGCTAAATTTGTCTGTAGTGTATGTCCCGGTCCTCCATGTTGAGTGTTGGGCTAACAACCCACCTCATAAAAACTAGATGTTAGGAAATACCAATATGGTGCGGCTAAATATCAACTTGTATATAAATCTCCCTGCGGGAGTAAGTATATATAAGCCTGGAACACAAAAACCAGTCATGGGTGTACATTTTTGGATTTTTTTAGATTCATGCATTGCATGAAAGTTGAATGAATATGCTTTCCATTGATATATACTTTTTTAGGATTGGTCAAACATTCTTTGAGATGCATGTATTTTTATAATTGGAGGGTTTGAAAAATCTAAATACTGAAAATCCCTTTTGAAGCAGTTCAAATTAAATTCTTAGCAATAGACATTACTAATCAAAGACTGAGTTTTGATATATTTGGGAGGAAAACAAAAAAATCTTAATGGAGCATCAGTGGATCTTTATGTAATATTTGAATTTTTTTATTACTTTGACACAATGTATTTTTAGCTTGTGTTCTACACAACTGTTAAAAATAATTTATAAGTTGAACTTATTCATTCATTCATTTTCTTTTAATCTGGGGTCGCCACAGCAGAATGAACCGCCAACTTATCCAGCATATTTTTACGCAGTGGATGCCCTTGCAGCCGCAACCCATCTCTGGGAAACATCCACACACACACACTCATACACTATACGGACAACTTAGCTTACCCAATTCACCTGTACCGCATGTCTTTGGACTGTGGGGGAAACCAGAGCACCCAGAGAAAACCCATGCGACGCAGGGAGAACATGCAAACTCCACACAGAAATGCCAACTGACCCAGTCGAGGCTCGAACCAGTGACTTTCCTGCTGTGAGGCAACAGCTCTACCTACTGCACCACTGCATCGCCAAGTTGAATTTTAAAAAATGTAATCTAATGTTCAACTTTGTTTAAATTAAACCCAAAAAAAGTTTTTAAGACCACTTGACATAAAAAAAAAAAGAGTAAATCCATGGAATCATATTTGAATCCTTTTGTTCAGTGTATTTGGTTGACTGAGGGGTGAGTGGTTTCAAGTGAAAAACCATCAATCCTGACCTTGAAAGTGAAAATAAATAAATGAGAAATGCAGACTTGAGAAAATTCTTAGAAGTAGTAACCACTCTATAAACAATGTTCATAAAACATGACAAGCTGTACATCAAGCGTTTATCCAATGTTTATGCTCAATTAAGAAACATGAAAAACGCAATCTCAGTTTACAAACACACTTCAGTTAACACGTATAGGAAGTTGAATCTGTTTAAATTGAAAGTTGATAACAGAAAACTGTCACAAAGTCAAAGCTTTATGTGACAAAGTCTGCAAGAGCCACTTGTGATTCAGAGAGAAACAAGGTGTGGTAAACAGACTGATAAACGTAAGACCTGAAGAATGTGAGAGGGGAAGTATTTCCAGCTGTGTGAGTGCGAGTAAGAAAAGTGGGAGGGACAGTGGATAAAATAGGAGAAGGAGTGCTCAGCTCAGTCTGTCACTGCTGGATTGGGCTCAGTGTTCACACTCTCTCTGCCTCCTCAAAGGACTAAACAGCAGCTAAAGAAGTCATCCTGAAATTTCCATTGAAAAAAGAAGAAGCTTTGATGGGAAGTCATGTGACAACCTTGTCATTGAACACTAGAACAAAAGTTACTAAATAATCAAGAATAGCAAAGCTCCAGACTTAAGGGGAAGGTTACAAAACTTAAGGTTAGTAAACAGCTTTGGATCTCTGGTGGAGTTGAGGAATTTCAGACACTTCTTCCCTCAAGATCAAGTCTGGGCGAGTCTGTAAGTACAGAGGGCTTCAGTTTCAACAACTGGCTCAAAATATCATGCTTTTCACCTCTTCTTTCAAGATTATTGTCTTTCTGGGAGCCCACTGTACATTGCTGAGATTTTAAATCACAGTCTCGTCGTGACAGTCCTGTACTTGTGATTCAGAAATTGATAAAGATGTGGCTTTTCACAGTCAAAATAAAAAGTAAAAGATAATAAAGCTTGGGGGGAAGCTGGCTTTGTAATTAATGAACAGTGAAGTCTGTCATTACTCAATATAGTTGCCAGTTTCTGTCATAACATGACCATCTCTGTCCATACTAGTTTTTCAAGCTCCAAAACAATGAGAGATACAAGAAAGTCTCTTCGCATGAAATGCTTTGAGGGGATTTTAGGAAATCCCTGTTCAGCCGTTTTTTATTTATTTGATTCTCACTCTTTATTATTTATAAACTTCTTTCTTTTTAACCTCATATTAAAACTGAAAGTAAAATGAATTAGAGGCAAGAATCTGTTCATTTTACAAATCAGTGATCAGCCCATTAATTCACAAGTGTATGTTTAACATTTGGTTAAGTTTAATTAAACCACAAGTGGAACACTTTTTTTAAATGGGAAGAAAATAAATACTCAATTTGATTGAACTTATTTAGCAAAAAGATTGCATTTGTAACAAAATGTGTTTTTTAACTATCAAATTGTTTTAAATATATAAATGCATATAACAAAATATAGTATACATTGATTGCCAGTTAATTAATATTTCACAAATAAGCATCACATCAATCACATTGAAGCATTTAAAAAAAAATTAATTACTAAACAAGACCATCAGTAATTAATATGGCAGAGATCGCTTTTTGGAGACTGCTGCACTGTAAAAGCGATTAGTTGACTCCTTGCCCTTAAATTAGTTAAAGAAATAGTTCACCATAAAATAAATATTGTCATGTTTATCTTTCTTTCATCTGTTGAATTCAGAAGCAAGATATTCTGAAGAAAGCTAAAACATGTAACCATTGACTTCATAGTATTTGTTTTTCACTATGAAAGTCGATAGTAACAGCTTTTCAGCTTTCTTCAAAGTATATTCTTTTTGAGATGAAAGAAACTCACAAAGGTTTGGAACCAATTGAGAATGAGAAAATGTCGAATAAACTATTCCTTTAAGTAAGTTAAAATATTATACAATCAATACCATTTAAAATAAGTCAATTTAACCATTCGATTTAATTCATCTTTATTACTATAGAACTTTTACAATGTAGATTG